GACCTAAAAAAGTAATTGACATTGCTGAAATACACAGTTTAATTTGTTTGAGTAATGTTATAAATAAAGGCATATTTTAACATAACCTTTTAATACATCTAATGAGAGAGAAGGTTAAATAACTATTCTTAATACTTAATTACACTTGTTAGAAAATAGTAATTACGAAATCTGAGACGTAAATGTGAGAGAAATCTGTGTGTGTAAAACACGTTTAAAAAAATAACAATTATAAAGGTACTGTAATTTTTCTTTGAAATTTGCAAAATGATTGGTTTTCGATATGATATAAAAAACGTTACTTGATGCCCTTGAGAAGAAACCTGATTTCATTAATTTGTTTTTTTTTTTATGCAAAACATGAATGTTACTAAGGAACCGTCCATTAATTTCTAGTGGAGGTTTACATTTCAGAAAAGAGAGAAAATCCGTACTCCCTCGTTGTACACTAAGGGATAGCCTATCTTATAAGCCTACTTGTTAGTCGTGTGAATAAACTATCAGTTATAAAATATTTTCAGAATTATTTAAATCATTTGTACAATATCGGAGTATAGCACACGTAATTAAGAAAGAGGGAATTTTCATATCTATCTCGTGTTTCATCTAACTCCATTCGTGTCTCAAGATTACAGAAAGACAAACAAACGAAAGACAGTGAAACTTTATAGGTCTACAATTATTTTCAAATTGCAGCTAAATAACCCCATGATTTACTTAGTTAATAATTTATTTAATATTTAGTATTTAACTTGTTTTATTTCTTTCAATATATTAATAATAAAGTAAAACAATTTACAAAATTTTAATTAAGAAATGGTACTTTTAACTTGAAGTTTTAAAGTAGCTATCTTAAGTATATACATTAAAACAATGACTAAAACAATTGCACTGTATTTTTGTTATTTAAAATTAAAAGATTAAAGAAATTTTTAAAAATTTTTTAGCCATGGAATAAACTCTATTTATTTTTCAAATTTATTTTAAAAATAAACAAATAAACGATAGTAAAAAAAGCTAACTAGAAAGAAACATGATTTAAAGGTTTTAAAAGATGCAACAGCATGGAAAATATATTTCCATGCTGTTGGAAGCGCATTAGCATCCCTAGCATTTAGGCAACGGTTCTTCATTTTACTTTTATAAATTTCCACCTTTTCCATCTGCAACACAATGGATGGAGAGTGCACCGTTTTAATGACTTTCGCCTCTTCCCATTTTACAACCGCTCCTTCGGTCTGCGCCATAATCGCTAATATTTGTGTTGTGTCCTTTGTCAATGTTGTATCTATGTTCTCACAGACGTACCGCCAGGTTTCTTCTAGTCACACCCACATAATCTTTTTCGATTCCTAACTGTTGATTTTCAAATGGTATTTTATATATCCCAGCATTCTCTTCTCTTTTTACGCTGTCTTTATCGTTCCGTAGTAAGCTATAGATATTGAGTTCTCTTTTATAGACCATTCTCGAGAAACTAACTCATTCACCACACTTCCTAATATTGTATGTGAATTTGTTAATTGCTTCTGAGTTAGAACCTTTATTGCCGTTATTTTCTCTGTAACCTTCGATCAGCCCTTCAATAGTGGCGGTTTTGTAAACCAAAGGTGTTGCAACACTTTTAATTTTATTATTGTCCTTGAGACGGTCCTGCACGTTGGTACAATATAAAAATGCTCTTCTGACGAGTGCTTTATATGCTGATAATTTATATTTATACGGACCGTTGGACCAAGATGGTATGTAGAGAGGAGCATGCGTGGGTTTTAAATACATACCTGTGTGTATATTTAATTGTTTAAATCTCATATCAATGTCCAAAAAGATGAAGATGAGTATAGCATTTTTGTTCTAGTTTTAGTTTTAAACCATGACCATTATTAGTGATTGCAATTAAAAATTCTGGAATTCGTCGGTTATTTTTTCCAAATTATAAATACGTCATCGACATATCGTTTGTAGATTATAATGACCTCTACAATATCTTTGAGGATGTATTTTTCCACTTCACGTAGCACTAGTTCGCACAAGAGTCCTGACATAGATAGGACTTCCCATTGGGTCATTTTTCTTTTGTTTGTATAATCACTCCGTTGAATCTAAAGATAGATTGGTAGCACATAAAATCTGCTAGATTATTTGTGTTCTCTAAGTATGTCGATAATATCGAATTGTGTTGGATCATGAATTCAATGAGTGCATTGAAGCAAGATGCTAGATTAATACAGTAGATGGGTACAGATTTTCAAAGACCATTACAGTTCCTATTTCATCGTTCATTAAAGTTAGGTCTTATAATTCTTTATTTTACTGCCTTATCTGAATCAAGAGCAACATCATTATTGTGTTCTAGTTGTTTATAAATGTATTTTCAAGCGTTTTTCTAGTATATATGTTTGTGCGTTAAATTTTTCCACCACTGAAAAAATGTTCCACAATTTTTATAATTTGTATAAATATTGTATATATAATGTATAAATGTATAAATATTTGTATATATATAATAATTATCAGCATATAAAGCACTCGTCAGAAGAGCATTTTTATATTGTACCAACGTGCAGGACCATCTCAAGGACAATAATAAAATTAAAAGTGTTGCAACACCTTTGGTTTACAAAACCGCCACAATTGAAGGGCTGATCGAAGGTTACAGAGAAAATAAAGGCAATAAAGGTTCTAACTCAGAAGCAATTAACAAATTCACATACAATAGGCATTTAGGAAATGTGGTGAATGAGTTAGTTTCTCGAGAATGGTCTATAAAAGAGAACTCAATATCTATAGCTTACTACGGAACGATAAAGACAGCGTAAAAAGAGAAGAGAATGCTGGGATATATAAAATACCATTTGAAAATCAACAGTTAGGAATCGAAAAAGATTATGTGGGTGTGACTAGAAGAAACCTGGCGGTACGTCTGTGAGAACATAGATACAACATTGACAAAGGACACAACACAAATATTAGCAATTATGGCGCAGACCGAAGGAGCGGTTGTAAAATGGGAAGAGGCGAAAGTCATTAAAACGGTGCACTCTCCATCCATTGTGTTGCAGATGGAAAAGGTGGAAATTTATAAAAGTAAAATGAAGAACCGTTGCCTAAATGCTAGGGATGCTAATGCGCTTCCAACAGCATGGAAATATATTTTCCATGCTGTTGCATCTTTTAAAACCTTTAAATCATGTTTCTTTCTAGTTAGCTTTTTTTACTATCGTTTATTTGTTTATTTTTAAAATAAATTTGAAAAATAAATAGAGTTTATTCCATGGCTAAAAAATTTTTAAAAATTTCTTTAATCTTTTAATTTTAAATAACAAAAAGACAGTGCAATTGTTTTAATCACTGATCGCGTGGAGTTTTTCGTGTCTCCATCACGTGTCTAACACATAAATATCGACCGGTTTCCCATAAAAAAATCCTCTCAGAAGGCACCTCCTTTGACAGATTGACCAAGTGTTGCTTTGCAGTATTCCATCAAACCAAACTAAATCATTTGTTTATTCTTTGATATGCAAATTAAACGTTTAATTTTCTGCTTATCGTTAACATCAACTAACGAGCAACTAAAAATGTCTTGCAGTGCTCGAAAGAGTAAAAGGAATTTTTATAACTTTACTGTTTGAATTACAGTATCAACTTACTAAATCAATAATTTCTGATGAAGTTTAAAATTAATTGAGACAGAGTGTTAGCGAAGCCTGTTTTATCTGGTTTAGAGAATTGTTCTAATTTTGGTTTAGAGAATTGTTTTCCTAATTGTTCTCCTAATTTCATGGCCGATTTTGATTGAACTTTTTCATTTTCCATTAATTACGTGGAAAAATCCAAAAACGTAAAAAATAATTTGTCAACGTTGTCTCTGAACCTTCCCGGAATTCTTTATTTAGTTTTATTCCTAATAATTTCTACCACTACCTTTATAAGTCTTCAGATTCGTTCTGGATATAAGAGGAGGGAACCATATCTTCCGAACCAATGGTTCGATTCTTCTGAAATTTTCAAGTAACATTTCCCTCTAATATGCAAATCTCTCTAGAAAGTTTCTACAATTTCCGACAGGAGAAACAAAAATTAAGCTTCAAAGTGTGTTAAAATTTTTTTACTCTCCTCACAAACACGCACAAAACGATTTCTTTGTTCTTCGATCGCTGCCCTTGTCGGCAAGTGTAAGGATCGCTTCTTTCTTTCTGGCTTCTCCTTAATTCTATTGCGATAAGACAAAGTCGTGTAATGTCCTACTAGAGCTTTATTAAACAATTTTAACATAATATCTACGAACATGTTTTATCTTGTCTTCGTTAAGGAATTCGTTGCATTTAATATAAATTTACTATTTTGGTTAAATAGTAAATAGCCTAAAAATTAAAAGACGATTTATAAGGTATAATTCTTTTTTAATACTCTAAAACATGGCTATAGGAAACTCTGTGAATAAGCCACAAAAACGAGTTATAAAGAAACTATCGGGCTACAGACAAGATTAGGTTTTTGGGCACTACTTTTTTAAAGAAATGCCCAAAACTTAAAAGTAACCAAATTCAAAAGATATTTTTGCAAATATCTTTTGTTAAATCAGATTATCTTAATTAACGTAAAAATGTAACATTGTCAAAGAATTGTTGTATTATTGTCTTTTAATACGTTTTGTGTTATATTATACATATCAATTCATAATTTATGAGAATCATTGTTTTAAAATGATGTATAATTTAAAAAGTATTGCGGTATTCTATGAAAATATATTTAAAAAAAAACAAATTTTGTATAGATATAAAATTATTAAATATTTTCGAAATGTAAACACATTTTATCAATTGTTAATCTGTTTAAGGTGAAATTACAAAATGTTTACGAAAATATTGTTGATTTTCTAAATAAAAATAAATTTTACTGCTTTCTAATTCTTAAAACTCAGATAATTTCAAATAAATCACCAATCTTCACAAAATTGCAATATATGTTTTATTTTAATATTTTCCACTTTTCACAGTTCGAACAAATAAGCAAACATCACAATATTTTAAATAAAAACTTAATATTTAGGAAAAGCAGAAATGTATTTAATAACATAATTTCTGTATGGCTCTATACTTGCTGTGGCTGGTAATTTTCAAGATAAGGAGAAACGTATTTCATAACATAATAATTTTTGTATGGCTCTTCGTTTACTGTGGTTGGTAATGGTGGACAATCATTTTTAACTTCTAAATAGGGATTACATATCTCAAAAATAAATTCAGTAATAGATAATTCTATTAGTAGTTCACCTAAAAAGACTGCCTTCGAGCTACATTCACGTTCAAATCGATCAGCAATACATTCTCTCATACGATTTATTCCGCTTGAAAATAAAATTTATTTTATATAAATTATCAAGTTAATGACGTAATAATACATTTTTATAAACTCATCAACAAAATACAAGCAATTTATGTCCTGATTTATCTTCATATGTTTGTATTCCTGCAGACATCATGATATTAACACAATCTTTCAGAAGTCCATAATTATTTAGCATACATTCGGCGTTCTTCAAATAATCTGAATAAGAATTATGGTAAAGTTAGTCGATTGCTTTAATCTGTTTAAGTAAGAGGTTCATACCTTTGTGCAATTAGTGTTCTGGATTGCAAAGGTCTTTCATTTTTTGTATAGTTCCCGAAAGAACAAACTGCCCTATTACTTTATCCATAGAGGTTAAACAAGCCTGGCTATAATTGTATCCACAGTCTATCATCTCGTAAGACAATCTAAAAAAAATTAAATTGAATTTTGTGAAATATCAGCCAGCAATGGTCGAGTGGTTCACTCCCACTCCTCCACTGCACTGGTGTTCAGTGGCCAATAAACAGTAGTAAGTGGTCGCGGGTTTGCGCCTAAACAACGGGCTAATGACATAAAGTTTTGAAGCTTTTCTTCGTGTCTATACATTTAAACAGATGATAGTCTCTATGGAAAACTGACTCTATTTAGACGCATCTATGAAAAACATAGTTTGTCATGTGAACAAGTCTCACTGGAAATATCACCTCTTGACAGATCTCATATACGTTGCCGTAAAAAAATGTAAAGGAATTTTGAATTAATTCACGATCAAATTGCATTAACGATTTTTAAGTTACTTACTCGCATTGTCTGGTCAATTCTTTTTCGGTAGTTGGAAACGGCTTTTTATATTCTTCTGAAAATTTGTTTCTTAGCAGCCCACACTTTAACACATTCTCCAAGCTGCATTTTTTCACTTCTTTTTCAGCCACTTTAATAAAATTGAAATTTAAATTTTATTACAAAAGTAAAAACTTCAAAGAATTATTTAAAGAAAAATTTTGTAAATGTCAAAAATTATATACTTACTTATCGGGACGAAAAGCATGAAAAATATATAAACTTTCATCCTTAGTTTTGGAATAAATTCAAATTTCGATTCTCTTGTTCTCGTATGATTTTAAGCCAGCAAATGGATCTAAAAAAGTAATTGAGATTGCTGAAATTCGCAGTTTAATTTGTTTGAGTAATGTTGGAGGCATATTTTAACGTAACCTTTTAATATATCTAATGTGATAGAATACTGAATAACTAATTCTTAATATGTTGTTTTTGTTAGAAAATAACTGTTACTAAATCAGGGTTCTGTGTTTGTGGGTCACGTTTAAAGACTTGCTAATTGTAAATGTACATTGAGAAATTTGCAAAATGATTGGTTTTCGATATGATGTAAAAAAGTTACTTGATGCCCTTGAGAAGAAACCTGATTTTATTAGTGAGGTTGCGGCTGAAGTTTTCATCTCTCAAACGTGAACGCCGAACGTCAAGCGCCGCTATCTTGTAAGCGGCGCTTGACGTTCTTGTAAGCGCTCTCTATTATTTTAGTTTTCATGCAAAATATGAATATTACTAAAATACCACCATTAATTACGCATAAGGCCTACAATTTAAGGGAAAAATGGGCGACTACTACCTCCTCTTTTGTACAACGTGGGGAAGGAGTATCGAAACGGATGAGAGTATCGAAATTATTCCTATAAGTCTACTTATTAGTCATGTAAATAAAATATCGGTTAGAAAATATTTTCAAAATTTCTTTAATGTAGAAGTAATGCATGTGTAATTAAATACGAGGCAATTTGCCAAAATTATGTCATTTTACACGATGAGGAGAGAAAAAGTCAAAAGTTGCTAGAAAAATGTACACGTAACTTAATTAATTAATAGACAGTACTTAACACATTTTAATAAGTACGCCCATATCTACTACAAAATATATATGACGATTGTTTGCATTGCATAAAAATCATCTAATAGGTCTACATTTAGTACGATTCAGACGGCTTAGACTCTGGTTTTTAGTGCCTCGGATAGAGACTTCAGCTCCGAGGGGACTCCCAATTTCAAATTTCTAAAAATATTTCTTGTTTGTTTTTATATGGCAACGCGACTCGTGCAAGATCTGTCGAGACAAGAATACCTCTAGATAGGATTGTCTATTGGAGGTTGGCCCCTATTTAAGTGTTAAACACGTGAAAACCCCGGAAAATCTAAATTATAAATTACTAAAATATTTACCACATTCATTAAAGTATGTGGTAAATATTTTAGTAATTTATAATCTTTTTATTTGTTTCTAAGCTGAAATTCTGAACGAAAAATCTACAGTATTTCTGGGTAATCTATTTAAATATTAAACACGTGAATGAAAGGCGAAAAACTCCACGCACTTGTCCAACGGATGACTAAAATCATTACAGTGTATTTTATTATTTAAAATTATAAAAAAAATCTATTATAATCTTTTGTTTTTTTAGCTGTAAAATAAACTCTATATATGCTTCTGATAATCACTTATTTATTTTGAAAAAATAGTTTACTGGGCAATAAAGAAATATAGATTTTTTTATTTTTACTTTATCGTTTTACTGATTGGTATTATGCTAAGTTAACACGTAGAACTTACTTCATAAGTCGATTTTCTTTACAAGATTTAATTGTAGTGATTATTTTAGCTGGACACGAGTATGTTTTAATGCGCTGTTTTTATTTTTTATGGCTATTAGGGCTTATTATGCTGGCATCTATAACCTAAACTTCTTGAAGAACAAAAACAAAAATATTTTATACGTTATAAATAAGATAATTTATTATACGAAATTTCAAACGTAAATTAATTTAAATGTAGAATTTAATATTAAAATTTTCACACTACATGTATATATAATTATTTTTCTCAGGTCGTGATATGGGCTAAGTCATAGCCACACTTTGTTTAAATCTTGATATTTTTAATTTCTTATTTCTATTTTTGTTTTTTATTTCTATTATTTTCACGTGACTATCATGTACAGTACGTGAGAAGACACTGCTTATTGTGTTTGATAACTATTTGGCATCATAAACTTATTAACTAATTATGGAAGATAAAATTAGTACAATGGCAAAAGCTAATCGGGAAAGCAATAAATGCCAAAAGGATACCATTGACATGAAAGAATTCAAATCTATTTGTTGGCCCACAATTTGAAAAAATTGTAGACCTATAAATTTGCACCGTCATCCGTCCGTCCGTCTGCTTTTCCTTAATCTCGAGAATAAAGTCATAGGTATAATCCGAGATTAAATATGGAAACCTTTGGAACAGGGGGCCCCGATTAACTATATACGAACTTCAAATACAAACCAGAAATTATGTTATTTCAATTCAAATTTTTCCTCCTGAAAGCAGTTAATAGATGACCAGTATGACTCTATTGTTAAAGGAAAAGTATGATGTACAGGGGCTCGCCATTACCAATTTGAGGTAAAATTTTTAATATATTTTAAATTAAATAAATTTAAAATATGATTAAAAATTGCAGCCTGGCATTGAGACGATGTCACAATAAATAACTGCTTGTTCGAATTTGAAAATGTTTTTTTAAATACATTTACGATGGCAAATATGGTTTATCGGATCATCCGAAATCCAATCATCATTCACGTGTTAATAAAAAGCACTTATTATTTATTCAAATAGTTTTAATTTTTGAGTTAAGTTCTGCACCATACCGGCAATCTAGGATTCCCGATATTATGCTAGATTAAATTTCAACGTTCTTACTACAGTAATGAATGTATAAAATATTGATTTGGAATCTCCTGTTGGTGGGGACCCCCAAATCCCAGGATAAAGCGTACTGGCAAAGAGTAAGAAAAACATCGAAATTTCAAAACTTACAAAATAATTTAATTTAGAAAATTGATGGTTTTGAACCAAATCTTTATTTCATTAATAAATATTAATCGAATTTATTAAATGTACAGTGTTTTTAAATATAAATTATGCCAAATGTAGAAGAAATTGGGGCAAATAAAAATATACTGCGCCTAAACTCATAACAGTTTTTTTTTTTACTGTTTTGGGTTCATGAGATCTCAAATTGAAGATTTGCAAAAAAACTCGAAGGATTGAATTTGGCACGATTCCAATTCTTTTCCATGTTACATACATAATAAGTCGAGAAAATAAAAGCATTACATATTAACGACATCTGCTGGGCATCTCGTGCATAACTAAAGAGGTTACAATCAGCCTTAAGCACATTTTACACACAATTCGAGGCTGGTTTAAATATTTTTACAAATAAACTAATTTTTACTTCAACGTTCTTCTAGTTTTGTATTGAATATCATAATTAACATTTTAAATATATATATTTCTAATGATTAATTTTCTATTTGAACATCATATTATTTATATACAGTATAAAATAGTTCACCAAGAACGTTACAACACAGACTTATTGTAGTTTCGCTTTGTCCAGAAACAATATACATATATAAATAGCTTTCATAAATATGCATTTTATATATACAGATATATGCAAAATTAATGTACAGGCAATTTAGCTGTAAATCAATTGTTCAGAAAACTTGTCTGTCCGGTTGTTTCTGAAGGATATCAGGCAGCAACGCCCATTTTCACTTGTAGAAAAATTTAAAATTAATTATTTCCATCAACAAAGCCGCAGATACAGTAAAGTTTCGTACGCGGATATTCTTATTTTATACAGAAATTGACCGAGTATGTATTTTATACAGCTATATTTATAAATATTACAGATCTTTTAAGAATTGTTTTATATTTTTAGTTAATTGAGCAGAACACCTAATTAGTAGTTAGTATTAATGCATTAATTTTTCTTAGTTCTAGTCACGACGAGTGTTTCTACTAGGGTTTCTCAACCGGGATCCCGGGATCCCGGTTGTTTTTTTAACCCGGGAAATTTTTCTTATCCCGGGAAATCCCGCAAATTTCTTAAAAATTCACTTTTTTTCGTATTTTGTGTTAAGGTTAAGGAATTTTGCAAATAGAAAACATAATTAACTCATTCACTGTCAGAATACATTTGTATTTATTAATTTTAAACCTACCTATTAGTTTTTTTTAATTTTTGCTCGTTATAACATGTCACAAATGTTTAATAATCAATATATAGCTTACTTGTGGCAGGACTATAAAAATTCTTTACTTGTCGGAACCTGTAATATCTGGAATAATTGTGCTTACGCTGTCTTGAGTTTTAACCATGCCCAGTA